GGCACCCCCCCCCCAGCCAGCACCAGGGGGGTGCAGGATCCCCCTCGATGCTGGAGCATCACCCCCACCAAGGGGGATGACACAAGGTCCCCCCACCACTGCCAGTGCACACACCCCCAAGCCTTGGGGGGACACAGGGTCCCCCCTCATTGCCGGAGCAGCTCCCCCCGACAGCCAACCCCAACCCAATGGCACAGGAAGGGTCCCCCACCACACTGGGTCTCCCCATCATGCTGCTGAGGCTTCCTAACCCAGCCCACCACGCTGCCCAGTACGGACCTACATGCAACACCCAACCCCCCCGCAATCCTCCAAGATTACCACTCACAATGGGCTGGGGTCACCCCAAAGATAGGAGACTCCCTCCTGACACCCCCCAGCCTGGCAGCCTGCTACCAGCCCCGTACTTGCGATTTCTCTCCTTCACCACCATGCGGGTCATGCTCTGGATGCACTGCGTGCGGTAGTTCTCATAGTGGGTTTCCCGCGTCACGTCCTTGAGGTCCTGCATGTGGGTCCTCACCAGCATCGTCCGCAGCTTCACGAAGTCGCAGTGGGACGGGTTCTCCACTGCGGGGGAGACCGAGGTCAGGGGGCCACTGCCAGCTCCCCACATCCCCTTGAGCCCCCACAGGCTGAACAGCACAGAGATGGGGCACACGATGTCCCTGTCCCCCCCCAGGATTGGTGGGACACCAGGGACATGGCTCAGTGTTACCTTCAACGATGCCCCAGGGGTAGAGGCGCCCGCGGACGCGCCGGCCTTTGGCCTCCACGACTGTGTTGCTGCCGATGACAGCGAAGGGGATGCTCTCCTGCAAGAGGATGGTGGGGGTTAGCAGGACTCGGTCCTGTCCGCCATGGCCCACATCCCTCCACATACATCTCCTCGGCCGTATCCAGCACCCATTTGCCATGATATCCCAGAGCCCAGCTACGGAGAGCCCCAGGTGGGACGGCAGCAGTCACGGCATGGGTTTCTCCACCTATGGAGTCCTGGTGACACATCTGGGTAGTGCAATATGTACCAACCCCGCCATGCCGGGGCTGCTGGAGGGCTTGCATGGCCCCAGAGCATCCTAAGGGTACCCCAAGATGATGTGCCCTCTCAGCCATGGGGCTCTGCTCCCTCAAGGATGGAGCTGGAGGAGCCAGACCCACCTTCAGTGCCTGGTCCTGTAGCTTGAACTCCTCATCCTCATCCGAGTCGCACTCAGGGAACTGGTAGATGCGGATGCCGTAGTGGTCAATCTCCTCCCGGATCTGGAGGCAGACAGCCCCGCTGAGGGCAGGACTCTTGGAAAGGGGGTGGGAAGTGCCACACAGCACCAGTGTCCCCCAAGGACCCACAAAAGCATGTCCCCTCCAGACTAGGTGTCATGGACACCCCCGTACCCCAAACCCTTCCAGCCCCCAACTGAGTACCAGGGAAGATGTGTCCTTGGTGGCCATGTGGGCAACATGGTCCTCTACAGTGCTGCGAGCGTGGAGGATGCTCCAATGGCAAAGTTTGGGCAGGGGATGGAGACAGCCCAGAGCTGAGCAGGAACCCCAGCCTGCAGGGCACCCCCATCCCCAGGGACCTGCTGGGATGGCTCCAGGATGGGCCAACCTCCCCTTACCTTGTTCTTCATGCGCTCCACCTCAATGGGGGTCAGAGTGTCAGCCTTGGCCAGCACAGGCACAATGTTCACCCGCTGGTGCAATGCTCTCATGAACTCCACATCCAGGGGCCGGAGCCTGCGGGGGGAGCCCAGTGAGCACCATCCCACCGAGCCCCTTCCCCAGGAACCCCCAACCTGGCAGCGCAGGCAGGGGCTGCCCGTACCCATGGCCAAAGGGCGAGATGAAGTAGATGCAGCAGTGGACGCGGTTGTCCTGGATGTTTTTCCGGTTGAGGCCACTTTCGTCACGGAAATACTGCTCGAACTGCTGGTCGATGTAGTCGGCCACTGGCTTCCAGCTGAGGGGACAGGGAGGTGACCATCGGAGTCCCCTGCTTTCCCTGGATCCCCAGCTCAACGTCTCCCATGGCTCAGCATCCCACCCTGAGGAGCCATGGGCATCCCACCCTTGGAGCCGCTGGCACGCACAGTGGCACTGCCCAGCCCCAGGGAGACACCCCCCGGCCCCATGGGACCCACCACTCTGTGTTGTTGACAGCGTCACCGAAGCCCGGAGTGTCCACAATGGTCAGGCGCAGCTTGACACCCTTCTCCTCAATGTCCACCACGTGCTTGGTGATCTCCACTGTCTGTGTGATGCGCTCTGCAGCAGCAGGAGATGGGAAGACGGCGGGGGACACCCCAGGCAAGGGACAATGGGGGTGACATGGGGAGATGCTGCAGCCCCCGGGTGTCACCCTCCATCCCAGAGGGGTTGGGTGGCTTTGCAGGATCAGCCCCCACGAGCACCAGGGTCCAGACCAAGACAGGATGCCCTGTGCCACAACCTCCCACATCCCAACATGGACGTGCACCCCTCCCTCGGTGGCTCTGCCACCACCACCCCATGACAGCCCGGCTCCTGCTGGGGCCACGCATCACCGTGGGAGCATTTGTGGCTTTCTGTGCCCCCACGTGTGACCCCCACGGCTCCAGGACGGCACGTGCCCCTCTACCCCCAGGATCCCTCCGCGTCCCCACATCCCCAAGGATGCTCCCATTGCCTCACGTGCACGCAGCCACACGCGTTTTGGCTTTTGCTCCGAGTGATGGAAACAAATCAACTGACCGCTTCAAAACAAATCAAACAACTGCCTCGAACCCCCAGGGATTTGGGCAAGTTGGGGCGATTTTAATTCAAAAACTGATTGCAGCGGAACCAGCACTGTGCCCTGGACCCCGACCATCCGCAGCCTCTCGGATTTGCTGCAGCTCTGGCCGATTCCCAACAAGCTGGGGCTTGTTTTTTCAGCGGGGACAAAGCCCCCATGGGGGGTCTCCGTGCTGGTCAGGGGGGGCGTCCCCGCTGCCTTGGAGCGGTCCCCAGTGCTGTCAGGCAGCTGGCAACACGCCGCATGTGGCTTCGGAGACTCGGAGGAGCCCCACTGGGTAGGGAGAGGGGCTGTAGTCCCCCCAGGAGCTCTGCCACCCCCCGTGGGACAGCCAGGACACCCCACTGCTGGGACTGTCCTCCCTCACCTTCGGCGTTCAGCAGTTTGCGGTCTCTGTACATGTCCGTCAAGAAGAGGCTGTTGACCAGGGTGGACTTGCCCAGCCCGGATTCCCCTGGGACAGGAGAGCAAGGGCAAGGGGGAGT